ATTGCAAAATTATTTTTTTCATGAAATTGCCATAATTTATGTGAATGCAAGTATTAGAAGGCCCTTGGAGAGATGCAAGTTTTCCAGGAAGAGATTTATTTATTTATTTTTCCAAGACAGCCTGAAGTTTGAGTAAAATTTCTCGTTTCAGTCTAACCCTATGCTTTAGAAAAAGTCCTGACATTCATTTTGTCCACACACTCACAAATTCTGCGTGTACTCAATTCACACACACACAGAATATTTTCTTCCTTTCATTTTAGAATTACACAATATAATATTGGTAAGTAATTTGTTAAAGTAATATTAATCTGTCCTGCAACAGAAATTCTGAAATGAGAACTTGGCTGCATTGATGAACTGCTGTTTTTGCCTACATGTGTAAACTTGCATTATGTATGAGACTCAGCATTTTATTTATATTGTTCTTCATTGCTTTCTTTAGCTGTAGAATATTTTGCAATATTTCGCTGATCCTACTTGGAAAATGTATATTCTGAAGAATATCAGTTAATGTACAGCTGTTGGACTACATGATGGAGATCTTCTATATGCAAAAAAAATTATGGACAGTCTGCCAAAGGCTTCTACATGTTCCTATATCCAGTGCTATAGTCACATGGCATCTCCATTGCTAATCTATTCCTTTTTGTAAAATATTTAAAGATTATTAGGTTTTAATAGATTTGGTTTCGATCCATTCCATTTCTATTTGGATTGCATTTATTTTTGTCTTGATATTGGTTGGAAATACATATGCTTAATGCAATGTTTGTTCCATCTGTTTGGGGCTATTTGATATAACAGTGGTGGCAATAGCAGTTATGAGATTTTTCAAGCAAAGTACTTAAACCACTGTCTTGGTGCAAGATGGTAAATGAGGTGTCTTCTGCTGAGGAACATAAAATTTCTGCCTGACTACAAGCATAGGTGGAGTTTCATTTTCAGATTATTTTTATTTGTGGAAAGGAAGATCTTGACAGAAAATAAACCAGGTAATATTACAAATTAAACTTGTTCTGAAAGGTGAATTCTTTGTTTTGGCTACTAGTGAAGAAAAGGATTTGCTCTTGACAGCCTTTGAAGCTATTTTTTATTCACTGATCACTGTTATACTGTAAGATGCATCTGAGTTACTAGGTCACAGCAGCACTGCAATATTGAGTACTTTAGCTGTGACAGTGAACAGAAAGCACTGGAGCCTGGTGATATGGCAGGTCATGTGATGTCAGTGAATATTTCGTCTTGAGGCAAGATAATGTGTGAACTCCCTAGTAAAAATGTGTAATAGGAAGAGAATCTGGAGAACTGTGTGAAGCGCTGGCACCAAGAGACACAATTTGTAGTACTTGGTCCAGAAAAAGAATAAGATGTTGTAACAGTCTCTAGCCAGTCACATCTGGTGGTCCAAAGCTGCCCAGGAGAGTGAAATACTCCACTCTTGTCTGTTCCTGAGACTTGGTTGCCATGGTCACAGCTTTAGAGAGATAAAGACTTTATTTTCCTGTATTTTTTATGTATAGAGGGGACATGGCTGTGGTGTTGCCACTACACAGAAACCCTATGTTTTCTTTTTCATCTATTGCTATTTTATACTCCCCATTCAAAAGCTTTTGGGCTCATTTGGGTTTAAAATACATCAGGTTTGAGATCTTTTTTTTTACTTCTTTTATGTTCTTCTGTGTACATGTTCTCTCTTTTATTACTGTTCATTTTATTTTAAATCTTTAAAATCAGAGAACATATTTCTGACAAATAACTGCTTCTGGAACAATAACCACCCTGCCTCAGTGTTCTTTTGACTGTTTGCTGTGGTCAGAATGTCTTTGTTACTTAGACAGGTTTTTCCATCCTTTCTGTATGTCCCCCCTCCTTGTTTTTTGTGTCTCAAAGATATTCAGGAATCACAGAATGCAGATCTCTTCCTTTGCCACCTACTCACTTTGACAACAGTGTTTTGGGTTCTTTTGAAGTGTGAAGTACAATGGGTAAAATAAATTGTAATACTGTCATGTTCCCTTGCTGCCTTCCATCATAGGTTTTCCTATGCTCCAGATGTACACACAAATCTGTATGTATGTACACACATAGACAAAGATCCATAATTAAGAAGTATGTGTGAACAAGAGTTTTTAAGAATGGAATAATCTAGAAGGTGCTACTTCTAAGGGATTTGAGATAGCTGTTTTGAATGATCCATAAATTATTTAAAGAGGTGATTGTAAGTTTCTGAAACTTGCAGCCTTCTGTCAGGAAGAAACTAAGGTGTTTGTCCAGGGCATTGTTTTCTATTCAAAGTTCCTATCTATAAATGAGCTTTCTAAAAAAGGTAAAAAATTATAACTCCTGAGAGAGGTCGAGTTGTTTTTCTTGCTTATCGACCCAGAATAGATTGTTTTGGTTTATAGAAAGTTAAATTTTTCTTCTCTAAACTACACATAAAAAAATGGTACACCTGCTGTGGCGTGATCCTACCACTTAGAAAAAAGTTTGGTATGTAGCAGAAGTATTCAGCAACCCAACAACCTCTAGTTTTTCAGTTTGCACCCATAAGTCTGGAATACATAGAAGCACATCTACCAGCAGCTGAAAGTGAGATACATACAAGTATTTACACCTGTGTGTAAAAATCTAAAATATGAAATGGATTTAATGTATGTAAAGACTGTCTTTTTATTCCATTCAGGCCATGGTTTTCAAAGGAGAAATGCTGCTGTCCCCAGCTTCTGTGTCTTTTACTACTTCTGGTCTGTTTCTCTTTCAAGTAGAAGTTTTTCCTTCAACCAGAGGTGAAAACTTGGCTCTGAAGCCATTGCCTGGGGAGAAGATCTAATATATGAAAAATAATGCAATAAATTTTACTCATTATTTCATGTGCATAAAAAGAGGATAAAAAGACAACTCAGATCTTGGTTTTTTTTTTTTTTGTTGGAAACTTGGTTTATCTATTTGTCACAATAGCCTTAACAGAATTATTGTATTCAACATCCATGAGATTCTTCCATAGTGTAGTCTGGCTCTGAGGGATGACTGGTCGTGAGACCCTCAGAGATGTTTCTGTAGCTAACAAAACAATTTTTGAATTTTTGAAGGTCTGTCTAATGTTAAAGAGTAGAATCAGGCCTTAGAAACTTACTCTCCTTGAATTTCTTAAAAATGTATTGTAATCACTGCCTTAGCTCCTTGCCTATGAAAGTACGATGACACACAGTAATTTCACAAGGATATTACAATAATAGTCTTTCTGAAGCACTTCAGTACTCTAGTAGTGCAATGCACAGATACAAGTGATACAGAAAACAAGGATGGATATATATGTCTCTGTATATATGTATAATGTTCCCTGCATAGGGGACTTGCTGCAGAAGATAGTAGATACTTTGCTCTGAATGATGCAGGCAGATCTGTGGGGAAACACACTGTGCTTATAAGCTTGAGAGACTACATTGCATGTACTACATTGCAAAGAGGCCAAAAGTATATTAGCTGACTGACTGTATTATTTCCAATCTTCTCACCTTTGCAAATGCTTTTAGGAATGTGTGCTCTCCTGTCTAGTATGAATTGTATAATCCTTCCATGTGGATGTAGTTTGTGTGTTTCTGAAATACTGCAATGTTGGGAGCTTTGTAGCCAGTATTGTTTCCAAGTGTTTGTTGATAGTCCAACCGTAAAGGCCTTCAGGCAATTAGCTTTCTTTCCAGTAAATATTTAGTTTTGTAATGATCCGTCACAGTGGCCACAAATCCTGGGGAGGGATGAGGAAAATAAACAAGGGAGCCTGATCCTTATTTTTTCAGTGCAATATTATGACATAGTAGTCTGTGCTATTTAATTGATTATGGTAGGGGACAAAGAATCAGTTGCATTACTTATGTTCTCAATCAAGGACTCTGGGCCATATAAGTAACAGACATGATACTGCAGTGAGCAGAAATGAATGAATTTCAGAAATAATTGCAGATAAGAGATTTTATACACACGTACAGACACAAACACTTACCGTATGAGATCCCTCAATCCCAGTCCAATATTTTTAGCAGGTGTTACTGACAGAACTTCAATGTTACACATTTCTGGTAGCAATGAAAGGGAAAATTCATGTTGTACTACTTGAGGCTACAAAGAATTCAAACAATGAAAAAAACCCCTACATTTCATGTTCTAGCAGATATTTAATACATTTTAAAACCTTCACATGTGTTTTATCTCTGATATTTATAGGAAACATGCCATTTCAACATTTTCTTATGAGTTTAATTCCCATAGGAGATGTGTAGTATGTAATAGGATGTTATTTCAAATACATTATGTTGGTTTAGATATCTTTAATGTTAGTAATACATTAAGTACGATTATGAGAACTGTTACTAAAATAATATAACTGTATAAGAGCTAAAGGAACTGGATTGTCTAGAGCCACTTAAGTCTCTGAACCATTGTATTAATGGCTAGTAAGCTACACGTAGGATGTTTAGGTGTTAAAAAGTGAGAGAGGTAAAGATGTTTTTAGGAATGAAAGAATTGAGCTTTCTCTTGCTATTTGTAATCTAGAACACTAGAGGACAGCACTAAAATATTACATAAATGTGTTATTGTTTACACTGTTAATGATACAGATGCTTTGTGAGAAGAAAACAAATGACACTGTTTTGAACAGAGTTAGGGCAAGTGGTATTTTTTATTTCCCTTGCTTCTGAAAACTGACTTGACACATTATACAAAATATCTTTAAATTTTTTGTGGTCTGAATCAAAAGTATTTGCTGCAGTGATTTCTGTGGAAATTAAGATGTATTTTTTTAATGTGGTAATGCTGTAGAATAGACTGTTGTGTAAACTGACATTTTTGAGGTCCAAAAATGAGTATATTTGGTTGTCTCATCTGTAAATGTTTCATGATTTATCTGCTCACACAAAATGTACTACGTTAATCATATACTGAAATATTAAATAGTGTAGTTCCTTGAAAAAATTACAGCTTTTGTTGTGTTTCTCTAGGCACACTGGAACGACATGAAACAGGTGAAACTGCAAAAGCAATTCTTACTTCCATTGAAGATTCAGAATATTTAGTGACAGATGCTCTACTTCCTGCATCTCAAGAGTTGAAAAGAAATAATGGTGGATACAAACCATCTAGCTCTTATAAGCATGGCATGGGCTCTCACAATCTTACTCATACAGAAAAATCTTCAGATAAGGTAAGAATAAAGAGTAGATTGTTTCTCAAGAGTGAGGAGTTGTGATTCAAATTCCTTATCTTTTCACCTTCCCTGGTGTGTAGCCCTGAAAAAGTGGCATAGGGGCTTGGTTTTCAGTTTCTAAAGACCTGTTCCAACTGGCTTAGTTTCTATGCCTTTAACCCCATTTCCTAGAACAAATGGGGAAGATGGGGGCAGTGCCTTATGTAAGGTTACCAGTAGATCGTGTCAGCTCATAGACTTAACGTCCATAGACTGTATTTCCTTCTGCCTCTGGCTTATGACTGCACCTATTAAAAGTGGCCTGAGAACAACTGAACCCAGCAGTTCCAAAGTATGTCTTAAAAAAGCACATGGTGGCGCAAATCTGCTGGCCTTCCTATTTTTGCTTTTCTATGAAACTGCAGATTCCTATTGTCTTTAATGGTAGTTTTTATGGGGTATATTTTTTTCTGTTATCTCAGAACAGAGTATAAGTGCTTTACCTTGGTTGTAGTGCAATCAAATTTGGCATCTTACTGGTTAAAAAGAGGATGGTGGTGTTTCTTGTGAGATACTGGGCTGCAAATAGATAGGACAGTCTTCAGGAGAGTTTCATCCAGGTGTTATTCTTGGCTTTATCCATTGTTGAAAAGATACGCTCTTTCTTTTTGTTTTGAAAAAAAAAATAGAAGGAAATAACATGCTGAAACTAGCGTTTATATGCTGGTAAAGCTGTGAAAATGAGTACAGAGACACCATATAATGGGAAATAAGGCTAAAAAAGCAATAGTCATTCTATTTGACTGTGTTTGCTAAATGTAAAAGCAATTATTAAAACTGTGTCAAATCTAATCTGGTCTCAAATTCAATGAGGTAGGTGTTACCTTATTCTGGTTGGAAGGTAATGGTACATCCATTTTTCTGAAAATCCTGTTTGTGCACCAGGAGTTGAATGTATTCACTGACCTCTCAGTAAGAGTGTATCTTAAGAATAGGGTATCAATTTTGTTTGTTCATGTTTATCACTTTTTAATTAAAGAGGTTTTGCAAATTCCATTTTCTGCAATAAATAGAGGAAGTCATATCTACTACTTCTCAGCCCTGTATGTAGATAAGTGATTTTTTCCAGAAGTATGAGAAGATGAAAAATACTTTTCCTCTACTTACATGTGGAAACAGCCTTCAGACTAGTCTGTGGCCTTTTCCTGGCTGTATTAGTTATGGCAAACTAAATTGAAAATCTGTCTGATAAAGTACAGCTTAATGCAAGTTATATTCTTGCCTTTTATTTTTAAGTTTTTTCTTTATTGTACCTGTAAATTTACACAACTTTGAGTTTATAATGATTGTTGTTCAACCCTTAATATTTGTCTTTGACCTTTTACTGACCTTAGTTTGATTTCTCAAGTTCTTTTTGATCCCATTTTCTGCAAAGTCGTCTTAGAGGGTAATCCTGCTGAGCATGTTGTGGGGCAGATGGTGCACTAGTTGGCCATTGACACAGAATCTGAGCTCACTGTTAGTTTATTAGAAGGAATAGTTTCTTCCTGCCTTTCTAAAGAGGAAAAGCAAAAAAACTTCAAGTAGTTTTGTGTGGAGGGTAATTTTGGTCATACCTATTAAGTTGAAAATTGCATGGATTTATTGCTGGAAAAAATGTGCTGCTTGTAGAATATGGGAAAACAGTTTTTGGTAAATTTTGGAGTGGAGCTGACCATGTTTTGGGGATTATCATGATCTTAAATTGGAAGTAATATCACAATAGGTGGCAGTGGAGTTATAATTTCTAGCACTTCTCTTGATCAGACATACAAATTGGCTGCTCTAAATTCTCAATAAAGCATTGGGTTTTTTGTTAGAATTTGTTAATTGATTATCTTTTCCCAAGGAAAACTTTTTATTGAAATATTATTGATATCTCTTAGATTTCCCTGTGACTGTAAAAATAGATATTTTTTTTTAAAAAAGTCAACTTCTTTTTTTCATTACAGTAATGTTACTTTAGTGTGATTTCCTTGAAGTTCTTTACTTGGGAAACAACTTTTCATTAATCAAAAATCTGACCTCCTTTATATCCAGTGCTGCTTCTCACCTCCACCACTGTTAAAGCAGTTTCTTTAGATTGGTGTGGGAGAGATGCTGGAGGCTAAATATATAAGGTGTAGCTGAACCTGGGAAGAATGACAATGGAGGTCCCCTTCATGCTATTTCAGAAGCCCAACATGATTTACACAAAAGGAGGGTGGAGCTCTGCAGCTTCTTTAACACTATTTTGTTATTGCTGAAATTAAGGCTTGTTATGAAGTCTAGTGTTTTCCTTAGCTCCTATACAGGACAATTGTGGTTTAGGTTTTTCAAGAAGTGTTGTATTGACTCTTTTGGGTTAGTGTATTTTTGCATCTTGAAATAGTCTTCTGAAATCCAGATTCCCTGAAATTAAGGAGAGTTCTGTGGATTTCAGAGTTCAATATTCCATATTATATTAATAAGTGTGTAATGACCACACAGATGTCATGAAACTTTCAGATTTTCAAAAGGTTCTGGGAAGCATGCACACAAGGAGTATTTCATTATGAATGTTTCCCTGGCAAATTGTGTACTAGAATTTAACATGTTAAATTCTTAATAACATTTCTATTTAAAAAAATCCACCATGGTCAATTTTGGTGCCTTTTTAAGAATTCAATTTCAGAGATTTATGTAATAGTAAAAACCAAGTGGTAGTAGTATCTGTTGGTATTATACTTGGGTGGTTGTTATTTTCTACAATGAGCTGATCCATATGAAGATGGCATGCAAGATTAAGCATTTTTCTTAACACTTATTATTAAATTGTTTTAATATTAATATTTAAGACAAAACAACATTTGTAAAATAAGTCTTTCTTTACTCCACCCTAAGAAGAAAGAAAAATATCCTCACACAGCAGTCCAGCTTCAAAGGCTTTATTTCAAAACATTTGTCATGATGTAAATCACAGATACAAAAGCAGAATGCTTTGATTTCATGGTGTTTGGACCATTTTAATTCTTTTATTGTGCTGCACGTGTCAGTGGGAGTACCAATAACAGATGAGTGTGACAAATGCAGTTAACATAAGATCCATATTAATGTTGTTAAATCCCCTTGATATATTTAAACAGATTTTAATTATTTTCCATGTCGAAAGACTCAAAATATATAGTTTAATAGTTCTTCGAGAAAGCTTTACTTAATATGTGAATGTAAAACCTCTCATAAAAATGAAACTTTTATATTGGCCTTAGTCATTGACATAGGGTATTCATCAAGTCAGCAATTTGTGTGGCAAAGTGCCATTTGAATAGTGTATTGTTAGAATACTTATGGTCCACTTGACAAGGGCTCTTGCTGTAAATAGTGCAATTTGACTCCAGCTGTTAAAGAGTGGCTTTGACAGCAGCCAAATAGAATGGAGATGCTTTACTGCACCGCAGAAAAATCAATATTGGGCTCTTGTTCATAGTAACCTGTTTTTTCTTTTTTTTGCAGATTTATACAAGACTATCTAGAGTTCATTTGTGGAAGTTTAAATATAATTTTTTAAGTGGCTCTGTTTTATTTTTATGTTGGCAATGAACGTTGTATGTGTTTAGTGAAAAAACAACAAATAACAGTACTTTGTGGATATACCTAAATAATGTGGTAATGCAATATTCAACTCTCAGCTTATATGGATGAGTATTAGGATGTGGGTGTATAAGTTATGTAACTAGTGACAAAAATCATCTTTCCTTCTTCTCTGTTTTGTTTGTTGTTGTTTTTTTTTGTTTTTTTTTTTTTTTTGTAGTGCTGCTGTAGTATCCCTGTCAATTTTATAAGTATAGGGTTTTTAAAAACAGATTTCTTTGTTGTTCTCCCTGTAACAACCCCCACAGATGTTGACAGCCTGTAGTGCCATTGTAGATTTTCCTGAAGCATAGTCCTGCTGGTGCTGAACAGTTTTCCAGCAGTATTCAGTGACACAAGGTTGCTATGATACCTGGCCAGTAGCAATAGGTATTGAATCACTGGTCTTAATTACAATAGACTACTCACTAGATTGTGTGCTCATGGTGTTTATATGGAACTAGCTCTCATTATACCTCTAAGTCATAGTTATATTTGAAAATTGGAGCTGTGTGAAAAGCTGGTTAAAAAAAATTAAATGCTTCAGTGCATCATGTGAAGATTTCATTGATGCACATAAAAAACTGGATATGTCTGGGAATTGCATTCCTGATGTTCCAGAATATTTGCATGTTAGAATGTTGCCTGGCTTTTCAGCTTAAAGAATTTGATATGAATCTGTGTTTATCATGCAGTGATATTTTTAGTTACTTGAAGGATGTTACGGGTAAAAATGTTGGAGGGAGAGAGGGTTCTAAAACTTGTGAGATAATTACTAAGCCTTGGGCTGCTGACTTATACTACTGAAGAGCTAGTCCAGAAAGAAAAGGGACATTTTTGCTATGTGTTTAAGGCAAACAAGACAAAGATGAGGGGGGAAAAAATTATTTACGTATTAAATTTTACAGGTTAGGTATATTTGTTCCTTGTTGCCTTAACAATTTGTTAAAATACCATTCAATGTGTGATGCAGAGAGTGGAGTTGAAATGTCTAAATAAGGATTTACACATCTGTAAAAGAATTTTGATTTATGCAGTTATTAGACATAATCATGACCAGAGTAGTTAAGTACCAGTTCCTGTAACACTTATAAATGTATTTCAAGCATTTTAAATTGACATATGGAGTATCAGTTGTGCTAAAGAACTTACTGTTCACAGATGTAATAGCATGTATGTTCTGCTCTAAACAAAATATGTAAAGGTGAGATGCTTATGAAAGAGATGTTTTCTTAGCATGAAGGCCAAATTTTATATTTTTATAGTTGCTTAACACAGAAAACAAGAATTTACAGAAATTATAAATTTAAAAATATCCACTTTGTTATGTTGCTGCGCAGAGTAAGTGAAAGACAACAGCCTGTAGGACAAGAGCAGTTATTTGTTCTAGT